ACCAATAGGCATGCAGCTTTCCTCTATACTTCTTGCTGATTGGCTGTTGGGATTTAACTTGATTAACACCTGCACAGAAGCATTTCCATACTGACAGTATGTCTGTATTCAAGTGTTTTGGTAGGTATTTCAAGCTTTCCTGCTCCAGCAGTGGAATGCCGGGCATGGTACGTTTTTTTTTTATTTTGAAAATCAACAGTTTGCATTATGCAATTAAAAATCCTAACCAATAAAGTAGGGAATAGCTATCCAACTGTTGTTTTAGTTGTATTTTACTTCATATTATAGTTATATCAATGTAAATCATTGTTTTCCCTTGTGTTTCCCATTCTTTCCCTGCCATGTCGTAAAATGTGGTGAACCCATCGCTGTATTTGCTCCAAAGCAAATATTGGCCTTTCTAGTTTTATTTATGTTCAGTCTGACTCCCAGGAGCACTATAATTGCAGTGTAGACAGGAAATTTGGGGGGACTTTTCCAGATCCAAAAGCCGGGGCGTGTGCCTATAGGTACCCATGCCTGATAAATAAAAGAAGGGCTGACATTGTGAGGTTGATTATTTTTCTATTGTCCCAAAAATGTCCCAAAGTGTCTTTTTAGTTGTCCCAGTCTAAATTTTATGCATTCTGAGGTTGATTATTTTTCTATTGTCCCAAAAATGTCCCAAAGTATCTTTTTAGTTGTCCCAGTCTAAATTTCATTGGTCAGTGGCCACTGGACCACCTTTAGTTTCAAGGCCTGTTACATTAGATTCTGTAGTCCTAAGTAAGGTGAATCTTCATATGGATGGCCATGGCTCCCCTGTTGGGCGTCTGCAGGCCACACTTTCCACACATGAACATAACTGGCTTCAAGTCCAAAGGTTTAGGTTCAGATCCGGACTCGTAAGTCTGGACCTGAACCCATGACATTTACAAAATTGCATGTCGGCAACCTTGCAATGTTGTCTGGGCAAACTGTGGCCACATATAACATGGAGGCCGGTACTTGGCGATGCCCGATGGCAATGTTTTCTTCATTTTGCAGCAAATATTTTGTAATCTATGGAGGGTTTTAGGTGGTTTGGTGTGACATGGTCTTTTTTTGTAATAAGTCCGGAACTGGTTCTTGCCTTTTAGTTTTTTTTTGGACTTAAACCGGACTTTTTACAAGTCCGGAACTGGTCCAGTGAACCGGTACACAGCACTTAAGTCCTAAGGAAGGTGAATCTTCATATGGATGGCCATGGCTCCCCTGTTGGGTGTCTGCAGCCCACACTTTCCACACACGAACATGACTGGCTTCTCATTGAGTGTGTGAGTCTGGATGTGCTCGGCCAGGTCGTCTTGGCATGTCGTTCTGTACTCGCATTTGCTGCAGGCATAAGGCAGCTCGTGGGTGTGAATCCGCATATGGCTAGCCATCGCGCCCTTGGTTGACGTCTTCAAACCACATACTTCGCACTCGAACGATATCTCACCTCTGTGCGCCCGGAGGTGTTGGTTAAAGTCACCCATAAGAGTTGTTGTGTACTCGCATTTCTTGCACGTAAAGATTCCGCCTGTGTGGATTTGCATGTGCTTGGTAAGGCCCCTCTTGTTGGCTGCATTGTAGCCGCATTTCCCGCACAAAAACGGGGTCTCGCCAGTGTGTGTCCTCATGTGTGCGTCCATCTGGTACTTGGTGACTGCCCTGTGGCCGCACTCTCCACACATGAAGGGTAGGGTGTGACATATCATGTGTTTCTGGAGTGCGTGTTCGACATTAGTTCTGAAGTCACACTCTTCACACCTTAAAGCTTTATCAGTGGCAGAAGTCGCAACATTTTCGGACATTTTACTCTTATCCTGCTCAATATGCTGTTCAAGAACAGCACTTGTGTATTTTTGTGTATCACTTGAGTAGGTTTCCATGCCACTAGTATTGGCAGCCACCTTGTCCTGACTGGGCCCACTGTTGGCGGCCATCTTTTCCTGACTGGGCCCACTGTTGGCAGCCATCTTGTCCTGACTGGGCTCACTGTTGGCAGCCATCTTGTCCTGACTGGGCTCAGTGTTGGCGGCCATCTTGTTTTGACCAGGCCCAATGTTGGCTGCCATCTTGTCCTGACTGGGCTCAATCTTGACAGCCATCTTGTCCTGACTGGACCCATTGTTGGCTGCCATCTTGTCCTGACTGGACCTACTGTTGGCTGCCATCTTGTCCTGACTGGGCTCAATCTTGACAGCCATCTTGTCCTGACTGGGCTCACTGTTGGCAGCCATCTTGTCCTGACTTCTCTCACTATCTAGCCCATTGTCACACACCGTAGACATCTCATCTACATGTGTTTTCATGTGCATCTGCAGCGTGAACATGCATGACGTCCGGTACATGCACTCCCCACACATAAAGGGTTTACCTGCGTAAGTCGTATGGCTCGACTTGTGGGACTCAAACTCTCGCTGGTCTGGTGTGGTGAACCCACAGACAGAACATCTATGCTGGGAGATATCTGTACTAGTACTAAGGGCATTGTCAGATGCTGCAGTAACTGACTCATCTTCAGTAGTATGAGTCTCCATGTGCTTCTTCATTGTTCTCTGACTCAGTGCCCTGAAGCCACACTGTTGGCAGACGATGGGATACGTGTGTTTAAACATGTGGGATTCAAGCTTCTTTTGGTCAGTGGTAGTGAACTTGCAAAGAGGGCACGTACGATACACAATCTCTTGCTTTACGTTGGGCGCTGGCTTGAACGGCTTCTCAGCATGTGTCTTTATGTGTCTTGCCATGGTGCTGTGGCTCAATGCTCTATATCCGCAGGTTTCACAGACCATGGGCTCCACATGTGAGAACATGTGAGATTCAAGTTGCTTTTGGTCAGCCGTGGTGAACTTACAAAGAGGACAACAGCGGGCATTGTCGGGCACTGGCCTGGATTTCTTCTCAACTATGCACTTCTTCTTGTGTTTCCTGCTATGTCTTTCCATAGCACTGTGGCGGTTAGATCTATATCCACATGTGTCACACACCCACATGGGTTCTCTAACATGTGAGAACATGTGCGATTCAAGGTCCTTCTGGTTGGATGCGGTGAACTTGCAAAGGGTACAGCTACGGTGGGATGTCCCTGCTATTGGCTTACTGCTTGTCTCTGCCATGTTCTTTTGTTACCTGTGGAAATACAAAGTGCAGTATACATGTTCAACACATTTGCATTGTAAGAACACATTTACATTGCAAGAACAAACACGTTTGAGTGTATATAGTGAGTGATTTGAGTAAATATAAGATGCAACTCTAACAGAAGCAAGTACTAGGTGAACGCATAAAATGTTTTAAGTGCTAGAATGGATGTTGACAGTCAGCAAAAACATCACATCCTTGTGAAAACCAAAACTATCTGTTAGAGATACTGTAGTATATTGTCTATACTATAGTCATGATGTTTTTACTCTGCTACCGATTGTAATTTAATTTGTTCACAGTAGAAATTGAAATTTGATTTTAAGGCCTTGTAAAGAATAACATAAAGCCAGCCCGAAACTTATAAACAGCCCAGCTCTGGTTGTCTGTTAAAGGTTTTGTCTACCTCTATCCCTGATAGTGATACACTGTACCTTGATACCGTCTTCTGGATGAGAAGGTTTGCCTGTAGTAATCCCAGTCACAATCACAAACTTTACTCATGAGTTGTACTTCAGACTCTCCCAATTATGTTTGTCTCACTGTGTCTTAAACTTGTTCACTGTATTTGAGTCAACTACAGACTGTGGCAGAGCGTTCTAGTCACTAGCAACTCTGACACTGAAGACCTGCCTTCTGTCCCTTCCTCTGGCCAAGGACATCATACATAATTATGTATAATGTCCTTGCTCTGGCTAAGGGGACTTCAAGTATCTATCTGTTCTTTGTGTGTTCTGCTGTCCAACGCTGACGTAATAACATTTTCTACATATATTTAGAGCAAAATTTAACATCACAATCATATTCCCATTCTTCAATGTCATTTTGATGATTTGTTACCAAACTTCGTGTATACGACTTCACGTAGTCTACGGGAAATTAAATAAATTTTGAATCGAAAGTTGATAATTTTTCCAGACCGCCCCCCTCCCTCCCCAAAAAACTCCGGAACCAACTCACCGTATATTCTGCTGAACACACTGGCGGGAATGTTTGCAAAGGGGAAATGGCGTTACTGTTCACGTTCTGCTGTGGTCAAAAATTATCCTATATTCGTAACTCGGCCAAAAACACGACTTTACAGTCACTCGATCGACCGGCTTTGTTTCTCTTGTTTCGGCCACTCGCGTTTCTAGCGTCATAGAACTAGAGGTCAAGGGTCAATGATCTCGTGCCCAGGACACTTGGTGATGAATAAATAGCCTCCACCAGGCTTCGGGAGGCGACCATAAGAGTGGAAATCGGCCAAATAGAGATAACATGCCAGGGGAGTTTGTCTGTGTGGAGAAAACACAAAATGTTTTCTTCCCGCAGACAAACTCCCCTGGCATGCTCTCTATTTATGTTTACCGAAGGAAAACATATTGTTTTTACTCAATTTTCTCTTCCTCTTCTTCTCCAAACACTAACCTTTGACCTGGCCAATGACATGATTTGTTGACGTCTGTCACCATGGTGACTGGTGTTGGGTTACATAATGTTGCAAACTTCATGGTCTGCTCTGCTTCTGTCTCCATATATATTAAGTAGTACATGTATGTGAATATGTTTGAGTAAAAATTAACAGGGCAGACCATGTCCGAAGGTAAACATTATGCATTTGCTTTGCAAATGTTACTTCTCTAGTTGACTGATAATTTTCTACTAGCTGCCTCCCAAAGCCTGGTAGAGGCTAATAAATAAATATATTGTACATAGTAGTAGTGGTAGCATAATAGTTTATATCTCTAAACTATTAGCATTGATGTGGTTTAACTTAAAAACGAATGTTGAAAGCAGGATATACTTAAAGTGATATTCAGTTGCCGAAAACTGAAAAGGTAATAAATTTTAATTGGCAAAATGGGAGGTCAGGATGACATGTTTTCACGGGTTTCAAATTTGAAAGGTATGGCCATCTACAAAACTACTAATAGTCAAACCTGTGCAAAATAACCAGATCTACCGAAGGACCGCCTTGCCATTGTGACCCTTTTTTTTAATGATCCCATTTTTTCATTAAAGACAATTTTTCCCATTGACATAAGCATTGAGAATCCTGTCCACAGTGACCACCTTGCACCTGGCCACATGCACCTAGACAAGATTTAACCCACCCCACCCCACCCCCCACGTCATTTCTTGGCCAGTTTCGACATCAATACAACTGATAAAAACAACATTGAAGCCATCTGCAAGCCAATAACAGTTTTATTAAGGAGTTTGCACTTGGGAAATATACAACAGACAAAAGACTTACAACTGTTCAACAACAGTGAGGAGTAAATATACAGTTCAAAACATTTTCACTTCTTCTTAATCAGCTAATGTGAAATACCTCCATTCTTGATACAATGTATTGTGTATTCAATACAAAACAAAGAACAATTTTCAAATCTTCCTCAAAATCCCCAGATCATAGTTAAATGTTTTACCGTCTATAAAGGTACCCTTTCTAGCAATTTTATGTGAGTTTCCATGTGTTTTTTAATTTTTTTTTTCAAGTCCTGCTTTCTAGAAGTTTTAAAGCAACAAACGTCAAACAGAAATGTTATCTGTATATGTGAGTTTCTATGTGCATTCTAGCCACCTTTTTTACACTGAATTTTTATTTCCATATGTGTGTTTCCATGTGTTTTTGAAAGTCACGCTTCCTAGAAGTTTTATAGCCGCACTCCTCACACAGAAACCTTTTTCTGCCCGTGTGAATTTCCATGTGGTCCCTCAAACTACCCTTCCTCGCAGTCCTATAGTCGCACTCCCCACATTTCAGCGGCTTGTCCTCGGAGTGAGTGAGCATGTGGCTCGTGAGCGAACACCTGTACATAGTCATGAAGCCGCACACCTCGCACATGAAAGATTTCTTTTGGACATTGTGAGTTTTTAAGTGCCGTTCCAGGTCGTACTTCGTAGCCGCCCTAAAGTCGCACTCAGTACACGGATGTGGTTTAAGACTGCAGCTTGTTTCCTTGTGTGCCGCCATGTCCGATTTGTCGGTCGCCTTGTAGCCGCAGCTTTTGCAGATGGTGTGGGTCTTGGCGTGCGTATCCATCGCAAACCTACAGGACGTCTTGAAACCACATTCTGCACACAAGAACGGCCCAGTGTGGGTCGACGGACGCACGCCTGGTCTGAACTTGAAGCCACATTGCTGGCAAGACTCGTCAGGTACAGTCTTCACCTTGGGGCTATAACTATAAGGTTTCCTTACCTTAGAGCTGTGTCTTTTCATGTGGGCGTTCAAGTGGTCCTTTCTGGCTGACTTATAGTTACATTCTGGGCACTTGTGACGTTTATCTACCTCAGGGGTATGAGTTGCCATGTGTTTCCTCAACTGGTCCTTCCTAGCTGTCTTATAATCACACTGTCCACACATCCAAGGCTTCCCACTCGAGTCGTGACTTGCCATGTGTTGGTTGATCATCACGTTTGTAGCTTTGCCAATGCTGAAGTTATGTGTTGATATTTCGACTTGGTCCTCGGGTCTGTGAGTTTTAAGGTGGCTGATCAGTGTAGCCTTGTCAGATGTAAAAAAGTGACACTTCTTGCAGAGAAACCTACTAGACTTCTTTGCAGCTCCCCCAACTGCATCACTAGCATCTTCTGTTTGGACCCTCATTCGCTTGGTCCTCTTCGAATTCATAGTTGTTTCCTCTTCCCCAGCTATTATTGGTTTCTCGCCTGTGTGAGTCCTTAGTTGCCGCTTTAGGATGCTTCTGTGAACAATCCGGAATTTGCAACCCTTGCGGACACTTGGTTTTGTTCCAGTTTCAGTGTTTGGGTGCCCAGTCATTGTATGCTGACTGGTCTCACTGTTGGCAGCCATCTTGTCCTGACTGAGCCCACTGTTGGCTGCCATCTTGTCCTGACTGATCTCACTGTTGGCTGCCATCTTGTCCTGACTGAGCCCACTGTTGGCTGCCATCTTGTTCTGACTGGGCCCAGCGTTGGCAGCCATCTTGTCTTGACTAGGCCTACTGTTGGCAGCCATCTTGTCCTGACAGGGCTCACTGTTGGCTGCCATCTTGACCTGACTGGGCTCACTGTTGGCTGCCATTTTGTCCTGACTAGGCCCACTGTTGGCTGCCATCTTGTTCTGACTGGGCTTACAGGCAGATGGTCTCTGTCCAGTGTGATCCTTTAGGTGTCTGGTCATTATATACTGATGTGGCGTCCTGAACCCACAGACCCCACAAATGTTCAGCTTTTGAGCTTTGAGAGGCTTCGAGGGATTACCGGTATTCAATGACAACTTACCTACAGTTTGTTTTACCACACTGGCACCCCCTATGCAAGTAGCTGCTATCTTGTACTGTTTGGGCTTGGTGCTGGCGTCCGTTTTGTTCTGACTTGGCTCACTGTTGGCTGCGACATGAGTGTGTGTCCTCATGTGTGTCTCCATCTGGTACTTGGTGACTGCCCTGTGGCCGCACTCTCCACACCTGAAGGGTAGGGTGTGGCATATCATGTGTTTCTGGATTGCTTGCTCGACGGAAGTGCTGAAGTCACATTCTCCACACCTGAAAGCTTTATCAGTAGCAGAAGTCGCAACATTTTCACTGTTGGCAGCCATCTTGTCCTGACTGGACCCACTGTTGGCTGCCACCTTGTTTTTACTGGGATCACCGTTGGCTGCCATCTTGTCCTGACTGGGCTCACTGTTGGCTGCCATTTTGTCCTGACTAGGCCCACTGTTGGCTGCCATCTTGTTCTGACTGGGCCCACTGTTGGCTGCCATCTTGTTCTGACTGGACCCACTGTTGGCTGCAATCTTGTCCTGACTGGGGCCACTGTTGGCAGCCATCTTGTTCTGACTGGTCTCACTGTTGGCTGACATCTTGTCCTGACTGGTCTCACTGTTGGCTGCCATCTTGTCCTGACTGGTCTCACTGTTGGCAGCCATCTTGTCCTGACTGGTCTCACTGTTGGCTGACATCTTGTCCTGACTGGTCTCACTGTTGGCTGACATCTTGTCCTGACTGGTCTCACTGTTGGCTGCCATCTTGTCCTGACTAGACCCCAATGTTGTTTCTTTGTCACACAACATATAGTTGTGGTCACTTTCACTACGCTTTTTCTCAACAGTGTGGTTGGCCACATGTTTGACCAAGCTGTCGACAACATCAGTTCTATACCAACATATTCCACACACAAATGGTTTGTCGGTAGAGCCGGATGGAAGAGTTGTATTGTGGGACTCGAGTGACTGTTGGTCTGCATTACTGCACTTGCAGGAAGGGCAGTTGTGTATGGACCTCACTTCACCGTCAGCCATCTTGGACACTCTGGGGAAAAACATTGAAGAGGTTCATCAGTCACGTAGAATTAACAATAATTATAAATAATTTGGAGGCACGTGAATTTACCTCACAAAAACGGTCACTGAAGAATATTCTACTACTTCTGGGGAAAAAGATACGGTAAAAAATTAAATGGGAAATTTTTGCCAGATTCGTTTGAAAGAAAAACGTCTAGGCCTAGGACAGAAAGTGATGTGTTTCCTGTTTCAGTCCTGAACAAATTAGGGTTGGTAGGTAGAGATTATATCTTTTTAATTTTAGGATTTTATATAATTGGCTTATACAATTCGTTTATTTTCTTTCTTTTTCTTTTTGGGCAATCTCTAGTGATCCAACTTAGAAGTAAAGAAATTTGCATGACACTTGTATTTTCAAAACCGATTGCACAACGTTTCATCACTGAGGTGAGGTACTAGTACCCGCGTGTATGTCCAGTCCAACCACCCCCACCACCCATAATGGAATAGCCCTCCTTACAACCGTGGACTTGCCATGCAAAGCCATTCAAAAAGGTAAGTTTGACACCTAGATTTGGGAAAGAAATCCGCGATTGCTGCAGCTTTATAGCAGTGGTCCAAAGTATGATCCATATCGTCCAACTTCGTTTATAGCTCAGGATACGTAACGTTAGTTGGACGCGCCCCCTCCCCATATAATTTATGACCTCTAAACTTGACAAATTCTGGCTTGAAAGAAACGTTAAGGCCTCGACAAAAGAGTGAACGTTACCGAAGATATCCCTGAACATATTTTCTGTGAAGTCGTGAAGATACTATACCTGATGCTCACGAAAAGTGACAAAAAAGGGCGAAGTTTTGCTCTGTGTGTCTGTCCTCCTTTTTCACACTTCCCACAATGCACCGGTTAAGAACCTGCCAGAAAAGGGGGTGGAAGATTTTACGACAGTTATTCTCAACTAGCGAAACCAGCTGAAGTAGTCGAACGTGGAAACACAATAAATCATGGCCGTTTTGAGGATAAATGTACTGCGAATTTGTGCGTTTTAAAAGCTTTAAAAGCAAGGGAAGCCCTGATCTTAGAGAGAAGGGGGGATGCTCTCGTACCCAGAGCTCCGTTTTCAGTTTCTGGAGGTACGCCGTTGACATTATTGTCATATACATGTATATGCTACGCTAATTTTTTTGCGTAAATACACTGGCACGTATAACGCATGCTATGTAGCACTTAAACTACAACTGATGACATACCAACAGGTACACTGCTCTGGACACAAGAAGACATTCTCAGGTCGTTGATCTTTGACCTTACCCATCAGCCCGTCGCGCGGTGAGGTTCGAACCGGTAGGACGTCTTCATTTCATTTCCGACCAAATCCACGTAAAAAAAGTAAGTAAATACCGTATTGCAGAAGCCGTAATGGCTTCTCAAGTACTTGCAGACTTAGTTTATAACTCGTACGGCGTTTAGGTTATTGTGAAGACGGCAAAGAAGCCTTACAACAGTCGCTAGCTACCGCTAGTTTCTTCTCTATATTTTTGGCAGCTCAGTTTTGGCGGGATCAGGTCGATTCGCCCCAATTGTCACTTCGCCCCAATTATTCACTACCACTTCGCCCGCGCCCCAGGTCACTTTCGCCCCAATCGATCGTTTACTACCACTTCGTCACATTGTTAGGGTGACTGGCGCTTATAATGTTTTATTCAGTTGATGTATGCATATATCTTACTAAGACTTACTTCTGAATATTACTTTACTTCTACCAGATCCAGAGCCCTGTGAGGCTGTGACTATGTTTGGACTTTATCTTGTTTGTTTACCCCCAGTGAAAACAGTCTGTGGCATCTGGTGGAGACCATTTTACCTCCATGTGGAGACTAAAACTTTCTGTGTGGGAATGTAGGACTAAAATTTTATTCATTGGGAACGGACAGGAATGTTTCTTAGAAGTTGTAACTGCTTGAGCTTCTGTTATTGACATACATGTATCAGGGTTCTCACCAGGATTTTTTCACAGCATTAAGGTCAGGTACAGAAGGGCAACTTTCTTGGCACAAGTGGCACATTTAGCAAAAAAATTGAAACATTTAACCCCTGAGACACTATTTCTCACTTTTTGATGGACAGATTTTATGAAGCAAAGGTTTTCCATTTGCTATATCTTAATTCCAAAGTTATATTTTCATTTTTTAGCAGCACCCCTATGCTGGTTGAAACTTGCAAGACAGCACAGTCCAAATTACAGCATAGGGGGCCCCTATGCTCAAAAGGCCTGGCAAGAACATTGGATGTACCATTACTGTCATTAGCAGTTACATCTATTAAACAGGTGCAAAGAAGTAATGCAAACTTGTGCATTTTATTTTGCAGTTTTCTATAACATGGCAGCAGGAAGCATTGACCTTCATCAGGACAAGACGACCCTGTCAAGCTGTGACCCCAGCGAAGACAAAATGGCGGCAACCAGCTTGGAGGCTAAAGAGAATATTATTACACAGCAAAGTTGTTCTCTCTGTGAGTTTTCTACAACAAGCCAACAACAGCTAGAGTCCCATATTATGATCACTCATGGAAAGGATTCTGCAGAACTTTTACCTTACAGGGAAGGTAGCTACAGGATAGCTTCCCAAACCAGCAGGAACAAAGGCGCAGAAACCAAAACAGGAGAGAAACCTTTACTGACGTGTGGGCAGTGTGGCCACCAGGCAGCTGGCTGGAACAAAATGGTTACTCACATGATAAAGCACGCAGCGGAGAAGTCCCACAATAATCATGAGAATGGAACAGCTCACAAGGTTACTAGTAACTTGAATGGGCACACGAAAGCTCGCCAAGATGAGAAACCATTCACGTGTGAAGCTTGCGGCTACAGAGCAGATGGAAAGGTTGACTTAGAAAAACACAAGAAGACTCACTTCGGTGAACTGCCTTTTATGTGTGGAGAATGTGGCTTTCGGTCAGAATTCAAGAGCACAATGGACATCCACGTACAAATTCACACTGGAAACAAGCCCTTTACATGCGACCAATGTAGCTATACGACAACTCATAAAGATGACCTTGATAGGCACATCAAGACACACAGTAAGATCAAACCATGGAGCTTTAACAGCTCCATGATCAACGTAAATGCTCCATGTGGTCAATGTGGTCTGATGGATTGGACTTTTGCTCACTTTGGCCCATTTATGTGTGCTGAATGTGGCTACAAAACATCGTGCAAGCTTGGCATCGACACTCACATGAAGACTCACACCATCTGCAAAGACTGTGGCTACGAAACGACGGACAAGTCTGAGATGGCCGCGCACAAGAAGACAAACTGTACTAAACCGCATCCGTGTACAGAGTGCGACTTCAGGGCAGCTACAAAGTTTGACCTGGACCGACATTTTAAAACTCACACAGACGAGAAGAAATCTTTTCTGTGCCACATATGTGGCTTTGTGGCACCGTTCCAGCACAAGCTGACTAGCCACATGATAACTCACTCGCAGGACAAACCACTCAAATGTGAGAAATGTAACTTCAGAGCAAAAACAAAGTGCAACTTACAAAGACACATGAAAACTCACATAGGAGAGAAACCTTTTAAGTGTGAAGAGTGTGACTTCAAGTCAGCTAGGAATCATAGCTTGAAAAGACACATGGGAACTCACAGTCACGCCAGGAACAAGCCATTTCAGTGTGAACACTGTGACTACAAGTCAGCTAAGAAGTTTACGCTAGAACGTCACGTGTTGACCCACACAGGAGAGAGACCGTATGCCTGTGGGGATTGTGACTACAGAGCAACGCAGTCCGGTACCTTAAAGAAGCATTTGGAAACTCACAATCACAAAAGGGAAAAATTGTCCTAATTACAAACAATGTGCCCAAAAGGTAGAAAGCATAGCTTGGATTCACTTGCTTGGTAACTTGCATAGAATGTACTGTGACCAGGCCTTTTCTCAGATTACTTTAGATACAAGCAGTATATTTTTGCATTCTTCCCAGAACTATGTGAGACCACCTTGTTTAATCATATGGGAAAAGGTGTAAGTGCCTTCCAACCGTCTTCTGAAGAATTGCCCAAAAACTTCACAAAAACGATCTGCTACTTAGTATCTGGAGGGACGGAAAATATCTACTGATAATGAGTATGATTGAAAATATCATATTGCATAACACATTGCTGAGAACTTATATGTGACTGAAATGTGTTAATTTAATATTTAGGCAGCATGTATCTGTAGCTGGCATTATTCTACAAAATTAATTAATGCCCTCTAATAACAGCAAAAGACCATAGTTCTAGTTTTCAACATTATTCTCAGGAATAGTTAGATGACATGATTTAGCTTTCATTGCATTTTCTAAGGAGTTTTAGAGGATTTAAAAAACAAAGAAATAGAAACAGTGTTTTAATAACAAATATTATATACATAAGGCCACACCAATTTAATTTGTTGGTTCTCGGATTCGCCTCTTCGTTTTTTTCTGATTTGCAAAAAAAAAAAAAGATTCTGGTTCTGAATCAACTGAAAAATGCTCATGTTTTGCCCTCAACAGTTGAGGAAAGTCCTTTTCTTCCTAGTTGTTACAGTTTTCCCATCTATCATTGCAGTGGTTTGATTAAAAGTTCAAAATTCAATGTTTAAATTTTAACCCCGCCTTTTGTGTTGACTTCATGGCTCATTTCGTAGCATTTAAGACTATAATAGGATGCCTAGACCTGTTTTTATTTTTTTTTTTTTTCGCCCTGTCGCTTCATATTTTTTCTGAAAAAATCCGAGAACCAACAAATTAAATTGGTGTGGCCTAAAATGAAAAAAAAAACTTTGCAGAGTAAGATGAACTTCACAAAGGATATATACCACTTTCTCTATGGCTTAATTGTTTCACGGTACTAATTTCTTTGTTTGAGCTTTGTTTCATTAATACGTTAATGAGGTTTTAGCTTTGCGTTTCTATATTATCTAGATGTATGTAAATAGTGTTCAGACAAGTTATTAGTGCATTATTGCATTGTTTCTGTTTTTTTCTTTCAATCATTAAACCTTTTCATTTCTTTCTACATCTAGATGCCCTTGTATGGCGAAATCAGTACTGATTAGCATCAGCCACTTGTACTTTGAAAAACGAATAAATTTCACTATTTTCAGTACAATATGTTTTTGACAATGTAGAATCAAGCACGTTACAAACAGCCCTGGGAAGGAGATCGCCCAGGTTAGCGGTTGACCCTTGACCCTGGTGGCGCGGAAGGGAGTGGCAGTCGAACTGCGGTGCGAGACCAACAACAAGCCTTTTCTCCGGCGTTACGAGTGTTTTATCGTCGCCATAGAAACAAGCAGGTGATGCCGATAAGTTTTTGAGACGATATTTTAGATAATCTCTCAGATTCCGGTGTGTTCCAGAGGTTGCAGCACTGTGTCTGGCCGAGTTGGGGTGGGGGGCGAGCTGTATTTTCGTCACGTATTTTCGGCGTAGAATTTTACGATTGGGCTGGCTGTCAGAAAACAGTGCACAGAAGAAGGTCAATAATCACAAAGCAATGATTAGAAAGTCCGGCTAGGAAGATAGGTACATACTAGGCTGGCGAAAAGAGGCCTATGCTCATAGGACTATGGCTGAGGAGAGTAATCACGATGTCATAGCCTGGGTCTATTTAGATCTAATGTACGCTATCTAGATCCATTGACTACCAGTAGTGTTATTGCTTTGTTTCTGCTTCTTCATAAAACAGTTTTTATTAATAAAAGCGCCCAAGGAATAAAGACTGCCATGTAGTACTGGTGTCAGTTAACGTGATGTAACAAGTGGCACAACGGGCTGGTCACCATATCTGTATCTGTATATCCGGTTTTAACTGCCCTTTGACATAACACACCAGCATATAAATACTAATGTGTTTAAGTAATACATAGAGCAGTAGTTTGTTACACTAGACCATAAAGTATAAACGTTTGCATTGCAAATGTTACCTGTCTTAACTGTGCTTGTTTTACGTCAATTGCTATGCTAGGTGCTGTGTTTCACTTGGTACCAGATTACTGACTACAGTCTGCTTTTGTCCCCCTTTGCAGGTCATATTATGAAAGCATAAATGATGGACACTCATGTGATGAATCACATTGGAGAGAAGCCCAGTTCCTTTGGTCAATGCGAGAACATGTCTAGTCTACAGGGAGACTGGGATAAGAACTTAAAGGCTCATGAAGTCTCCAAGACTAAAGGTGGTGGGAAAATCTTTACCTGTGGGGACTGTGGGTACAGGTCCAATCGCAAGTACAACGTACACCAGCACATCAAAACTCACACAGGTGAGAAACCATTCACCTGCGGGGCATGCGGCTACAAGGCAGCCCACAAAAGCCTACTAGCCAAACATATGAAAACTCACACTGGAGAGAAACCGCATGTTTGCGGGGAGTGTGGGTACAGGGCTTACTACAGGAGCGGACTGGTTCTTCACATGAAGACTCACACTGGGGAGAAACCGTTCGTGTGTGTGGAGTGTGACCACAGGACCAGCACTAAGGATGCACTAGACAAGCATACCTCTAGAGTTCACACCAGTTATAACATGCTGACATGGAAAGTACAAGGTAAGGTCTGTAGAGCAGGCATCAGAATGGCAGCCAGCAGAGGCCCCAGTCAGAGCAAGATGGCTGGCAACAGTGGGCCCAGTCAGGACAAGATGGCTGCCAACAGTGGGCCCAGTCAGGACAAGATGGCGGCCAACAGTGAGCCCAGTCAGGACAAGATGGCCGCCAACAGTGGGCCCAGTCAGAACAAGATGGCTGCCAACAGTGAGCCCAGTCAGAACAAAATGGCAGCCAACAGTGAGCCTGGTCAGAACAAAATGGCAGCCAACAGTGAGCCTGGTCAGGACAAGATGGCTGCCAACAGTGAGCAAGGTCAGGACAAGGCAGCAGTTGCCAGCATTAAGCCCAAAAGTAAGACAGCCCAACTCAATTGTGCTCTCTGTAAATTCACCACAACAGTCCAACATGAGTTAACATCCCACGTGTCCACACATCTTATCCTGAGCTACGCAAGCAAGCCCACCAGTTACGCAAGCACTCCCACTGGTGAAGACCCCTTCATGTGTGGAAAATGCGGGTTTAGAACGTCCACCAGCAGTGACCTAAGGAAACACATGAAAACTCACACTATAACACGTACCAGTACGATTCACAAACAGTGTGGCATACAAGAGACGAGTGAATCGAGAACCAACTGCTTGGAAGAGCCTTTAAGGTGTAGCTATATACAGTGCGAATTCAGGACAGATTCATGTAGCGAAATGAAGAAACACACGATAACTCACACAAAACCGTTAGTGTGTGGTGAGTGCGGGTACAGGGCAAGTCAGCAGGCTAGGTTAGACGTGCACAGGAAAAAGCACACTGGTGGCGACAAACGCTACGTGTGCAAACAGTGTGGGTACAGGGCAAGCTGTAAGAGCAGGATGATCAGGCACCTCAATACTCGAACGCACAGAGCTGAGAAGTATTTTGTGTGCGAACAGTGTGACTACACGGCAGTTAGCAAGTACACGTTAGAGAAACACATTTCCAAAGCTCACACCAGCGAAAAATCATTGATGTGGAATGTATGTAGTGATACAGTATCCAGAAAGAGCCAAACAGATAGTCAGGACAAGATGGCAGTCAAGAGTGGGCCGAGTCAGGAAAAGATGGCAGCCAACAGTGGGCCCAGTCAGGACAAGATGGCAGCTAACAGTGAGCCCAGTCAGGGCAAGATGGCAGCCAACAGTGAGCCCAGTCAGGAAAAGATGGCCACCAAAACTTCTTTGCACAAATACACACTTCAAAATGATACAGAAACTCACACCAATGCTGAAAAACCATTTATGTGTGGAAAATGCAGTTACAGGACATCACTTAAGAGTTCACTCAGGAAGCATGTTATGATCCACACCAAACCGTTTATATGCGGAGAGTGTGGATACAGGGAAATTTCCAAGTCCAAGCTGGAGGCCCACATGAGGATTCACACTGGAGAGAAACCCTTCGCCTGCGGGGAATGCGGCTACAAGACAGCCTTCAGGGGCAACCTGGAGAAGCATGTGAAGACTCACAGAAGTGAGAAACCCTACATATGTGGGGAATGTGGGTACAAGGCTAGCATCAAAAGCACAATGAGGAGGCATATGAGAATTCACACTGGAGAGAAGCTACACGACTGTGAAGTGTGTGGCTACAGGGCAGTTGATAAGAGTGAGTTGGATCGACACTCGAGAACCCACACAGGGGAGAAACCATTCAAGTGTGAAGAATGTGACTACCGGGCAGCCCAGAAGAGTGCACTAACCAACCACCTGAGGACCCACACAGGAGAGAGACCCTATGCTTGTGTTGAGTGTGGCTACAAGGCCGCTCAGAAAAGTTCCTTGAGAAACCACATGGAGATCCACAGGGGAGATATACTCTTCATGTGCACGGAATGCGGCTTTCGGGCGGCCAACAGAAACACAATGGTCGCCCACATGAAAACCCACACTGGAGAGAAACCCTGTGGCTCGTCAGGGGGATCTGGGTACACTGCATCTCTGCAAAGTTCTACGAAAAACGCCATGGAGACTCACACATAGAACAATCAATTTTGTGTACAGAATGTGTTCAGAAAGCATCTTATAGTATAGAATTTTTTATATAAAACTGGCTACCATAAGATAACTCTTACTATGTATAGAGACATTTACCATGAAAAAGCAGAACATATGATGTGCTAGCTGATGAAAAAAAACATATTGACAACAAGCATTATGTGTATGGTGAATGTGGCAATAGAGCATCATGCAAGTCTGTAACTTATTGTGACTATCATATAATACATGTAACTCATAACATGAATCAATAGAAAAGAAAGAATAATTTGTTTGTTCGTGATTAATAACATATCGTACCAATATGAAGGAGGGCTTGTGCTTTGGAATTGTTGATGCCTGTACCTAGCACCTGTTTCCTGAAATATCAAATTGTTCGTGTATGTTTTGAGTACCGTATTATTCTTCTTTGTACATATGTAACTATACAGATATACGTAAACATATGTAATATGTAGCGGCCCGCTACGACGTTATGGAGAGAAAATTAAAATGCAACACAGACTAATAAATGCGCACTTCTGTAGCAAAGTGCAGAGATTTGTGCATGACGAGCTGTGTTTTTTTTTCTCTAGAAAATAAGGCAAACTGTAGGTATATAGCGCTACAATAGTAATAAACATTGAGACCGTGGCAATCGCAGGTAAATGGATATATGTAGCTATAGCCATCCAAATCATAGCAGGTAATAGCATGGCCACCCTATGTGATCTCGAAACGAAGAAAATAATCAAAAGTACGAAGTACTTTGATCAATTGTTTTCTCAAAAGTATCAAAGGTACGAAGAAAATCAAAGGTTTGAGAGCACAGTCGTGAGGCTTTTATGTACACTCTAAGTTTTCTGCGCGCGTATTTCGTATACACAGTTTTTCTTCAGACAATTTGTTGAAATTATCATGCATGACTTTTTACGCACGAATTTTGCATCATCGACATTTCCTTTTGAGGACGCCGATTTTTTTAATGAATTGTAATGTTTTGTAAGATCAGAAAGCATCACTCATCTGAATATTAATGCTTGCTGTAATATCACGCTTCCAACGATAGACTCATTTATTGTAAGGACACAACACACCAGCTCGGCAGGCACGCAGCGCGGCGGCAACTTTTGATGGGGATTTCTTTTCAGAGTTTACCAGTGTGTACCAGTACGACCCTTCGGCACAACACATCAGCTGTACCTAGCCTCCACCAGGCCTTTCTACGGGAATACGGATCGTAGAATTCGGCAAAAAAAGAGTAAAATTAGCCAAGGGAGTCTAGCCGCGGGGAGGTACATGTAGTTTCTTTCCCTCTGTGCGGCCAGTCAAACCTACAAGGTGACCAAACTCCCCTGGAAATTATTCTCCTGTATATAGCCAGCGTAGTTAGTCTGGTAGAGACTAAGCTGTACCAGTGTGTATACAAGTAGCACAGCCCTTCCAACATGTCGCTATCAAGGCGCGAGGCTTGTGATATTTACCAAGCAGGGGATTCTGGCAAAGCGTGCGACAATCGCAACTACGGAACGGTCCCTGACTCAAGCAGTGGCGCGGTGGCAACGTATGTAACAGCGGGGCAGCCTAACCCAACACAAAACAATCAGGGTTATGAAGACTTGGCTCCGAGCGACGATGGGGGGACGGCCCATGGTGGTACAGAGGAGTCCTGCCAGGAGGGTCGGAATCAGGGACAAAACTTGGATTCGGGCGACGATACAGGATTTCCAGCGAGTCCAGAATTGACAGAAGACGATATAGGTATGAGGATCTTTTGTTTTCGTTTCGTACATGTACACATAGTATATCTTAAGCCTGGTTACCAAACCTTTTGTAGCTCCCGAGTCATACATCCTCTCCGCAAATTTGCTATAATACTAGGTTTGGTAACAAGGCTATGTATATCCATGGAGATGGTATATCTCACCATGTATTACATGTTAGATGTTTGCTGGGCCCAACGGTGGTGCAGAAACTATTGAAATGTTTCTGAAGCAAAGTTGAACTGTATCAAATTCCAGAATGATCCGTACCCATGCAAAGGAACTTCCAGGCTAATTCTTATGTATATGATACATTTGATCACAATACATAGATAGATTTGATATAGATGTGATTCTTATAAAATGCGTGCATGTATACATGTTTTTTCATATATACATGCATTGCCAAATTATGCATGAAGTCGCTACTGCGATCATGAATATTGGAATATGGCCAGCGTTGCAATAGTACAACAGGTTTCTAAAGCAATGATAAACGCGAATGAACAGTATCCATTTGGACACGCAGCATCCATGCATTCTCCCCACCCAAGGTGGGTGGGGTGGGGTGCTGAAACCTGTCTGGCAAATGGATACTGCCTGATACAATATGTTAATTTAATATTGTCTTTTCAGCTACAATGTACCTAAAAGGTCTGCTTGGAGATCAATTCTCATGTTTTATGACACATTTGATCATACACACACACACACACATACACACATATTGATGAAAAGATAAAGACATGATTATTATGAAATGTGTATAGTTACATGTTTCTTTTATACATATGAAATATGCCGTTGCTGTTATCATAAATGTTGGAAATATGGCTAGCGTTGCAATAGTACAACATGGCGCACCGTCGGTCATTGATTTGCTCATACATAGTTCCTTCTGCATCCTCACAGGAGACGACAGAAATCGGGGGCACACCGATGTCCGTGCTACGATCAACACGAATGATGCCCAACGCGAAGAAAACGATGCAGAAGACAACGCGGAACACCACACATACGACAACCGGTGGTCACAAACAACGGCAGAAGACCCAGGAAACCACACCTACAACAACCCAGAAGTTGACGCGTACAACCCAGAAAACCACACCTACAACTTAGAAGTTGACGCGTACAACCCAGAAACCCACACCTACAACAACCCAGAAACCGACACCTACAACAACCCAGAAACCCACACCTACAACAACCCAGAAAATGACACACACAACCGAGAAGACCACACCTACAACAACCCAGAAAGCCACACCTACAACAACTCAGAAACCCACAATTACAACAACCCAGAAAATGACACACGCAACAACCCTAAAAGCCAAACACACAACAACCGGCGGTCAGAAGATCACACATACAGTAACAGCCCAGATTCAACTGACGAAGTCACACCCTGCAAGGGTCAACAGAAGCAAGTGAAACGTTTGATCCCAAACGTGATCTATGAAGACTCCACTCAACACGAGGCATCTGGTAAGCGTTGCATGATGATGATAATAATCAAAAGAGGATTTAAAAAAATTGCGATTTCATGGGAATACCAAAAACTGGGGGTTTGGTGGTCCTCAGGGTCTTTGGGAGCTTTTATGTGCTATTTTCTGATCGCATATAGACAACATAGCCGGCCTGGTTGAATTACACCCGTTTTAACTGGGCTAATCAGAAAACAGCCGAAGACGACCAAACACCCAGTTCTATAAGCCTGCTACGGAGGCAATGGGAATACAATAGATCGTCAGAGAATTTATCTAGTTGCTTCCTTCTTTTTGTATCATACATAATGATGTACAGGTGTCTGACTGTCACCATAGATTTAATACTACGCAATTTTGTAGGTGGAAGAAATAACGTCGAGGACGACGGCAAAGATGATGGCGGCGAACGACGCACTTCCCTGGCCAGACTCCAACTTGCGGTCAAGAATTCCCGCGTTCTTCTCGTCGTGACCACCGCACTCGTCACTGCCGTCGTGGTCACCGCAGTATACTTCGGGATTACTAGTATTATCCCGCAAAGAAAGCCAAAAGCAACTGAAACACAGGCTAGCCCTTTGTTTCCAGACACCCCCAGGACCTCAACCGTTGCCATGGATCTGGTGACGTCCATGGAATCTTCAGTCATGGCAGTGGATTCTGTGACGTCCATGGCACCCAACCGGTTGAGGGCCACGTCCATGGTTCTGTGATGTCCATGGCGCCCTCAACCGTTGCCATGGATCCGGTGACGTCCATGGCGACCTCAACCGTTGCCATGGTTCTGTGATGTCCATGGCGCCCTCAACCGTTGCCATGGATCCGGTGACGTCCATGGCGCCCTCAACCGTTGCCATGGATCCGGTGACGTCCATGGCGCCCTCAACCGTTGCCATGGATCCTGTGACGTCCATGGTGCCTTCAACCGTTGCCATGGAATCTGTGACGTCCATGGCGCCTTCAACCGTTGCCATGGATCCGGGAACGTCTATGGTGCCCTCAACCGTTGCCATGGTCATGGATGTGGTGACGTCGACGACCCAGCCTGACTGTGCCTCCGCCTGGCTGGCTGGCTACAAGACCTCGGGGGTCTACACCATAACACCCCGAGCTGGGGAAAGACCCCTGAAGGTCCCGTGCGACATGGACACGGCAGGGGGCGGCTGGACGGTGTTTCAACGCCGGTTCGACGGCAGCGTGAGTTTCGACAAGTCTTGGCGCGACTACAGGGACGGTTTTGGCGACGTGCGCGGCGAATTCTGGCTGGGACTTGAAGCCATCCACCAGATCGTGAGCAGGGAGACACACGACTTGCGGGTTGAACTAGGCGATTGGCAGAAGAGGGAAGCGTATGCCCAGTACAGCCAGTTTAACTTAAGTAATGAGACTAGTGGATATAAACTTGACTTGGGTGTGTATAGCGGGACTGCGGGGGACGGGTTTGGTCTTTTTCAAAAGTATAGTATGTTTGGCTCGGAAACACCGCTTGACCACCACAAGGGGCACACGTTCAAAGTTAGGAAACCAAGAAATGGCTGGTGGTATTCCATCGGCCACGCTATATCAAACCTGAACGGGCCGTACAGAAACGCATCGGTTCCTGTGGGTGCTGACACCATTCACTGGAATACTTGGACGGCATATGCATGTTCATTGAAGTCCACTCGTATGATGGTACGACCAGCTGCATTCCTATAGAATATTGTTAAGCTCATTTTACGCACTTATTTAGTTGTCTATATGTTAACAGTGA